CCGATCTGGCTAATCTACATGCCTCCGTCGAAGGAGGCATGTAGTCTAGACACATCCCAAGGTGTGTGCTTGAGGGAAAGTTTTGTGAATTTAATATTTAGACCTTTACTTTCTCTCTCTTTTTCTTTCTTTCTTTTTTTTTTTAAGTGGATGCTGGGATGTTTTTTGTAAAATCAAAGGATGTGTACAGCTTTTGATAACCTGTAGCGTTGTGTGCACACAATGCTTATTCCAGTATTTCAGAGCAGTTTTAAGGTAACTGTGTGTGCTTGAGGGAAAGTTTTGTGAATTTAATATTTAGACCTTTACTTTCTCTCTCTTTTTCTTTCTTTCTTTTTTTTTTTAAGTGGATGCTGGGATGTTTTTTGTAAAATCAAAGGATGTGTACAGCTTTTGATAACCTGTAGCGTTGTGTGCACACAATGCTTATTCCAGTATTTCAGAGCAGTTTTAAGGTAACTAAATATGATCACTATACCTATTTTTCTTTCTGTTGCTGTCGATCAGATTATATCATTTATAGTACAGAACCAAAAATCATGACTTTTTTCCTGCATGAGGTGCGCACACATGACTTTATTTGAAAAAAGTTGAAGTTGGGGGAGAAAACTGAACATGAATCACACAAGTTTGTGCATTCCATTACAAACTAACAACTCAGAAATCTTTAACTTTATTTACATTTAAATGTCCTTCCCCTTTTCTCTGAACTTCTCTCTTCTTGTGAAACCCTATATTTTAATTTTTTCCAATATAGAATTGTAGGATGAGTTAGGGATGTTAAATTTCGATTAATCAGCAAATTGAGTAGTCAATGGAATTTCCATCAACTACTCAATTAGTTGAGAGAGCACTGGCTATCCTTTCTGTGCCTCTGCCTTTTAAATGTAGTAAGTGCCCCACAGACAGGGACTGCTTCAGACCTCTCTCATGCCATTTCCCTCACTGCACCTCCGCCTCCCCTGTCCCCTTGCAGAGATGGTGCTGGGGGGGAACCAGCTTTTAATTCAGCTCCCCACAGCACCAGCTCCTGCTCTCCCCTATAGCAGAGGCAGCAAGGCAGGAGGAAATGACTAGTCGGCTCCATGCAGCCGGCAGTCTGGCAAATCGGTTACCAGGTAAGGATTCTGGTAAGCCTAATGCTTACCGGGTAATGGTTAACGAATTGACCTTTAGCATTCCTAGTTCTAACACTAGTTGTGTCGGGCAAATGAATTAATCTTTCAAATACTTCATTTCTCTTCTTTCCCAAAAACCAAAGCAATTTTGTGCCAAATTGAAGCACTTTGAAGTCCTAATATGGAGGATACAGCTGTTAAGCTATTGTTCTAGCTCAGGCCTAGGCAAAATACGGCCCACAGGCCAGATCTGGCCCGTGGACATGGCGGAGAGCCCCAGGCAGGCTCCCCACTTTCCTCTTCCCAACTGGCCAATGGGAGCTGCCTGTTTCCATAATGGAGGGTGGGGCAAGCAGGGAGGCTGATACAAGAAAGGGCTGCTGGCTGGTAAGTCTCCCAGCCAGAGCCTGCCTCTGGCACCCCAGCCCCTCCCTTCCCCAGCCATCTACCTGCCACAATACTCCACATATCCAAATCCTCTGCCCCCCTCCTGTGCCTATACCCCCTCCACATCTGGCATCCCATCCCCTGCCCCAGATCAGTCCCCTCCTGCCCTTCCTCACAACCCAAACCCCTGCACCCCAGTCCAGTGCCCCAGGTCACAACTGCCTCCTTCACCCAAATTCCTTCCCTTACCCCGAGCTCTCATCTGCACCCAACCTCCATCCCAGACCCTGCACCTCCTCCATTAATATCATGGAAGAGTGCAACCCTTGATCACTTTGCAAATTCTTGGAGTGGCCCCCCTGTCAAAAATTATTGCCCACCCCTGCTTTAGCTCTAAAAATGTGACACTTGTAGACTGCAATGCTAGGTTGGGGAGAGAAGGCAGTCCAGTGAATCAGAAGTACTGGGGATTGCTACTCCTTCTCTCAATCATGTGTACCACTGTGGTGCTGGTGGTGTGGATGAGGGGGGAGGATTTGTATAGCAAGCTGAACTTTGCCCGGGATGTGTTACCTTGAGTGTCAATATTTGTGCATTTGCATGGCTCAAAAGATGGTAGATACTTCTTTTTGGATTCGGACCTTGATGATAAGGTATTAGAGAGGGTTTTTAAGAGGATGAAAAAACTTGTAAGAAAATTAAGTTTGTCAGTTCATTTGTTCTTGGTGTTTGTTTTTTTTTGCTGTAGGACTGAAAGAAACTGCTGAAGAGTTGGTCAAAAGCAAGTTAGAAGGAAAAGATAAATTAACTCCATGGGAACAATTTTTAGAAAAAAAGAAAGAGAAAAGAAAATTGAAGAAGAAAATCAAGGTACACATCTCTGATTACTCACTTTAATTAAAAACCTATAAATGTCCTTTTTTGCTTTGAATTAAATGTAAAGGAGTTACAGCTTATAGAATTATTTTGAGGGCTGATGATATGGTGTGCCTTCATTTAGAGACTGTGTTTACAAGTAACTTACCAAAACAAGAGCATTAGGAGGATACTCCAGGTAATGCTAGTCAGAACAAACAGGCTTTCACGTATTTTCATCTGTCGTTGGCAGCCAGAGTTAAATATCATAAATTTATACGATTAAAGGAACATAAACATGCATCTACCCAGAAATCTACCTTTTGATCTTAGAATTTTGTTACACTCTGGAATGATTAAGCAATTAAATTTGTTGCTAAAATATGATTGGCTAGCAAGACTTCTGATTGAGATGCCCAAAATTCAGTTTCCCAAAGTTCTAGCAGTATAAACATTTTGAACAGCATTGGGGAATTGCTCAGATATCAACTGGATGTGTACACTTGAGGGATATTTCGATATATAAATTACAAAAATGGCCACTGGCTTTTCTACCATGGTTCCTTTTTGCCTTTTCATTTACCAAAGGAATTTGTGAATTGATTTCTGTGGTGGTAACTAGGGATATTAAAAGTCGACTAATCAGCTAATCAGCTCTTACTACATTTAAAGGGCAGAGGCGCAGTGGGGGTGGAGGTCCCAACATTTAAAAGGCTAAGGCGCAGCAGTCGGACCTGGTGTGAGCAGGGACTCCTTGAGTCTCCGCTCGTGCCATTTCCCCCACTGCACCTTTGCCTCCCCTGCTTCCCTGAGGAGATGGTGCTGGGGGAAATCAGCTTTTAAATCATCTCCCTCCTGCA